CTTTCTTTAGTTACTTAGAGCTTTGGCATTTTGTTTTCTAGACATTTTATGTTATGCTTTGTTTGAAAATTATGAAATTTTTGTTGAGATTGTTGAGTATATTGTTGAAGTTATGGTAATTGTTGAGTTGATTACTACGTCAATTACTGAAGCCCCTTTAGAAGATCTATATGAAGATTGAAGATGTTTTAGTTTTGATTATGTTAGCATTAGATTTGTATAAATTTATTTAGTTTGCTTCATTCATTTTTGTATTTCATGGTCTATGTTGAAAAAGATAATGTATTGCTTGTTATTAGACTTAGGCTTGGATGTGTTTGCTTATTGTGATGAATTAATTTTAAAATTACATCTTGTTTTAGAAAACATAAAACTCATATTTCAACGTCTCATTTCATGTGAAAACATAATATAAGAGATTACAATGTGTTTTGACATAAAATGGAACTTGGTTTATTCAAAAGAATTCATGATTAAGTCAGGTAATAGATTACCATATGAGATAATAGATTACTGAAACTTAGTTTTGAAGTGGAATTCAACATCCTCTCCGTGATAATTGATTACCTACTCATGTAGTTGATTACCATAGTGACTTTTGAGTGAAAACAAGTGAAACAAGTTGAAAAATCATCAAGATAATCGATTACCAACATTAGTAATCGATTACCTCTGCTGAAAAATGAGTTTATGGTTTCTGGAACACGAGATAATCGATTACCAAGATTAGTAATCGATTACCTCTGTTCTTGTTTCTCATATTTCAATTTTAATTAAAAACTGGTAATATATTACCTGATATTTGCAATAGATTACTGCTGTTACGAGTTTTTAATGATGAAATCTTATTGCTCTATAAATATAACTCTTTTTAAAAAACTAAAAGATACATGGAAAGTATATGAAAAAGAAAAGGAGAGATGACATTTTTTATTAGAAATATCACACTACTAGATTTTAATTCTTTAGCAACATTTTCTTGTTTACATTTGTTAAAATGTTACTACATATTAAACAAATAGGTTATTTTGCAACATTTAAAGAGAATGTCATTATAGATAGAGTAACATTTTTTATTTCAATATTATTCTTTCTAATTGTTTTTAAAATTAAAGTTCCATATCGAGTAAAAAAATTTCACATAGGTTATTTTGCAACATTTTTAGTTAAAAATGTTACCATAATTGCTTCTAAAATCAAAGTCCCACATTGAGTAAAAAAAGTATATTTCTCTTATCTCTAATTATTATCCATAATTAAAGTCCCACATCGAATAAATTAATGACTCATAAAGAGTATATATAAGCATATAATTATACTTAAGATAAATAAAATTTGATATTTTATATATAATTAGTGATAACTAATTAAGAATGTTTTCCTCTAAAAATAATTAAGAATTTTTAGAGTTTAAGAAGCATAAAAATATAATAATTGATAGTAATATATCTAAATTAAAATTAATTATTGTTTTATAAAATTAACAAAATATTGGCAACATTATTAAAATGTTATAAAAATATTACTTTGCTAACATTTGAAAAATGTTGCCTAATTATATAAAAATATTATTAAAAGTTTTTAAGAACATGGACTATATACAACATTTGATAATATGTTGTTAAAGCAAATTAGTAACATTTATATATAATTAAGTAACATTTTTCAAATGTTGCTAAAAACTATTTGTGTTGTAGTGTCAAAGAGTGAAATAGAAAAACATTTCCAAGAAGCTGAAAATCATTTTTCAATGAAGATCAAATATTTTTTAGAACAATCAAAGAGTAAAGAAAATTCAAGAAAGATGTTATCTTGAAAGAAATTCAAGAAATTCAAGATTGCTGAACAATTCTTTGTTGAAGATCAATCTGCACATCAGGTGTATCAATTCTGATCTTCAAACTTTTGTTTGTATAGCTAGGCATGCTATGGTGTATGACTCTTTGAGATAAGGGTATCTCAAGAAAGAGTGAAAGAGAAATCTTGAGATAAGTTTTCTCAAGTGGATTCTTGGGGTGTAAGAACTCTGGTAATTGTATAATCTTGTGGGATCAAGATTAAGTGATTGTGTTTTTTGATTATAATATTAATTGTACATGGTGTTTGTAAAAAAAATTATAGTAAAAAAACTGGATTTAGCGGGGAGCTAAGTTTGAAGCTGGATGTAGATGGCTGAACTAGTATAGATCACTCTGCAATTTCTCTATTTACCTTCATATCTTGTTATAATTCATATTGAATTGACAAAAAGAATTTCAAGAAAGTAAAAGAAACATTTTCTTGAATATTATAGATTGCTAATTTGTGAAATCTAATATGATATATGTAATTTGGTAATAAAGTGAAGGAAGGTAATTACTAAAATCAATTTGGATTATAACTTTAATTCCACTGTGTAATAAATCTGATATACTTTGAATCTTGTTTGTTTTGTAATCTGAATGTGATTAGTAAAAATTTGTATAAGAAAGAAAGCAATTGGCAAGAAAGCAAGAAAAACCATTAGAAGTTGTCTAAGTGAAGAATCTATTCAACTCTCCTTCTAGATTCATGTTCTACCTAGGACCAACACTTTTATTATTAATGCATGAATTTAGAGTTATTTTTCTATTTTTTTTAGCTTATATATATTATTAATTATTTAATAAGTATAAATATAATATTAAAATAGTGGTCATCACGTTATCTGCAATCTAGTTATCTCACTTTTGGGATTGATCGCTCTGCTTCGCTATCTAGTATTGATTATTATGATCTCCATCATAACATCAACATCAAACATCATAACATTATACATTATCATTACTCACACTTTCATTGTCATCAATTATTATTATCTCGAATATCATCATTTACCTATGTCTTAAACATTACACATAACATTCTCAATTCAAACATCAACATTTCACATCCTATCACCTACAACCATATAATATCACATACATGCACTTAAAGAATAAAATAACTTACAAATTGTCTCTTCTTATCTTAAGCTTCTTTGACATTTTATGATTTAAACGCAATATATAGAGTTGTGCCTATATTATCAAGTTGATCTTAATTTTATCGAAAATATAAGATAATCATATACAACTTTTATGTTTACCTTAAGAGTTGATTTTACCATCTACTATTTTTGAAAGTTACAAAATTGCAATATTTAAGCCTAAATTTGACAACTTGGCCTTTGTATACTAATTTGATCGTAACTTGTGTTCTAGATCTCCTTTTTGGATGAATACAATGTCATTGGAAAACTAACATCCAATGCTACAACTCTTATGATTACAAAGAAACTCATATCGATCATATAAGGGTCCTTATGAGGCTTACAAGTTATAAACATTATTTTTTATGCACAAAACATGAGACTCATTATGATTCACATAACTCAATCATTTCTTAGTATTTTATGTGATTTTTGAGTCTAAACTATAGTATCAAATGTCTATTTTTTAATCCAACGTTAACATACGTAACTTTATTTGGTTAATCACACAAAGATAAATCACTTAAATACCGAGGCATGTTCATACAATTTTTTTTAGAATCAATCAAACAACACTAAAACTACAAAATCACACATACAACCCAATCCCGAATCACATAACAATCTCAATCAATCATCAAAATTTATAAAATTACATAAATAAAATAGTAATCAATCAATAACTTAAGCGACTTAGGGATCACCTCACTATCTATACCACTTATATTTGCCCGTGAATTCGATATTCTCACTCCCCTCATATCTCAAGTGATGATCTCGTAGCACAAGCACACTCCATGTAGCCTTAGTCACTACTTCGCCTTTTCTCTTGTGACTTCCTCTAGGTTTTTCTTTGTCAATGATCTTAAGGTTCATAATAGACGCTTAAGAAAGGCCTATCCTTATTATTTGTTTTTAAGTCTTCAAGTTGGACTCAAGAGTCCAATCTAAACCTCCTCTCTCCACCTACAAACCTTTTCTTTTTTATTTAATTTAATTAAAACATTTTAATTATATTACTAACCTAGATAATTAAATTAATTAAGATATAATTATTTTATTAAACACTTATTTTACTTTATTTACAAAAAATAGGATGTTACAACTCTTTCCTTCTAAAAAGAAATTCATCCTTGAATTTACTTGTTGTGAACAACTTCGGATACACTTCCTTCATCTTACTCGCTAACTCCCAAAATTTTCATTTTATGACCTTTTATATTTTAGTTGGAGTTTTGTGTAATAAGGCAGTTTCTGTCTTATTTCGAAATCATGTTAATGTCATTCATGTTTTGATTAAATAGTTCTTAAGTTATATTTTTATGAACCATTTTCCTAAAAGAAGTTAAGTTTAAGTATTTTCTAATTTTTTAATTTAATTGTGTTTTTTTAAAAAAAATTTATTTATCATGCTTTATAGTAGAAGGGTGTCACAATTTTCCTTTTGCTTATGCTTAATTTTCAATTATAGGTGATAGACTACAAATGTATTTTAAATTTATTAAGTCTATTTCTTAATTTATTTCATTAAATTTTTTAAGTGTATTTCCTTTTTCATAGATGTTAATTTATTTTTTAGAAATTATTAATAGTTAAAAATAACTTTATACTACAATTAAAACTATTCATTATAAATTTTAATTATAATACAATTTGTATTTATTTATTATAAGCTAGTTATATAAAAAATATTTATATTATACAATTACATATTAAAATACTAGTTGAAAATAAATAACAAAATTTAATTAGTAAATAATATTACAAACTGTTTTACACAATATTAAGTAATATATATTATTTACTAAAAAAATGATACCATTAATATTATTTTTTTAATTTCTCATTAGTATCATCTTTCATAGGCAATAATGTTTAAAGTCCAATTGGTATTCAAGCATTATTCGTTACGTGAAAATAAAAAAAGTAATTTATGTTGCGCACAACCTTTTAGCAATAAATTCAACCATTGATTATATGAATAGACAAACAAAAATTGTAAATATATCTATTATTAATTGGAACGACAAATACACTCTTAGAATGACAAAAATGTTTTTCCTAACTATTGATCCTCATCTCACTTAGCACCACATTGATAACCATCATTGTATTGAAAAAATTATCTACAACTGTCAATAATTTCGCAACTAAAATTTTTGCGAAATAGTGTAGAAAAAAAGTTTATTGCAAACTCTTCTACATAACATATTATATAACATAATTATCAACACTAATCTTCTATCAAGAAAATAACTTGTAAGTCTTTGCGGAAACAACAATTGTTCGGACTCCTCCAATGGGTGCAACAACCGCTACTATAGTTCCAAGAATGATACAAACCTGAAATAATAATAATAATAATAATAAAAAAATAATAATGATAAATTCTCATGATAAACACTAAACTTGTGTTTTAATCTAGTTATTATCAAATAATAAGTACCCATGAAGCAATCCAATGAAAACTCCATCTTTTAGGTTCTTTGGCATTAAGCCATAATACACCAGGAATCTGCATCAAATGTTTGAAATTTAATAGTTAAAAAGACATTAATATTTTAGAGGTTTAAGAATACAAGATCAATATATAATTTCAAACATTACAATATATGATGTTGATGTGAAAGCAAGTCCTCCAAAGAAACCCAACAATCCTCCAAAAAATGGAATACACATGCCAATAAGTCCCACCACACCTACAAAGAAATGTGAAAAAAAAAAAAATATAATATACATATTTCAAAATATTTATGCATGAACTTGTAAATAGTTAAAAAAATCATCTTATTCAATTCTTACAAACATATATGCTTCGGCTAATTAAGCGAAGCATCTTTGAGGGAGTAAAGTTCCATTTTTGCACCAAATTTGTCTCCATTGTATCAAACACGGGCATAGCAAAAACCTTGATATGAAAAAAAAAAAAAATTATTGGTCATATATCGCAAAGTAAAATAGCTTTACACAATTAATCAATTACTTTATTGGTATATTTTTTAAGGTAGTTATTATAAAAGTAAAAAAATTATTATTGAAATATAGTGTGATTTTTAACATTAAAGCACACTAAAATCCTAAATCCCAAAACTTTACATTTAGAATAAGCAAAATTAAGTTATATATGTATGTACCTGAAAGCTCCCTAAGACATGAATGAATACCATAAAGTTAGCAATAGCTATAAGCCAATTAGGGCGTTGGAGTGTGATGAGGACATCATCATCAACTTCGGTTCCAAATGCCCAAAAGCCAGATACTGCAACTGATAAATAACAAATAATAACTATGGTGTATGCCACTAGCACCCCTCGCCACATTGGAACTTTGGAAGGTTTTTCTTCTGTTGAGGGTAATGTAGCTTGAATTTCTGAAGCAACACTATGTCCAGCAAAAGCAAATGCTACGGTTCCAAGGGCATTAAAAGCATCAAAAACCATCCCAGGAGTTGTATGGGATCGAACGCCATAATGAGAAGGATGGTGGTCAAAACCCTCAACCATTGACATAATAAATGCCACCATAGAATAACTGCATGTTATTTAGATATCATATAACATATTTTAAATATTCATATATTTTTCAAATTATATCATTAAATTTTGCTATCCTAAAAAACAAAAATTATCAACTTAATTTTTTTTATATCGATGCTTATATCAATACCAATTGATGTTTTAAATCATTTTTTCTTATAACACGACAGTTGATCCACTAATAAATAAAGAGAAATTCTATCATCACATGTAATGTAGCTAGGCAAATTAAACGTACCAGATAGACATCAGAGCAGCCAAAGAAGAAACTGCTTTCAAATTATTGAAATTAGGAGTTTGGGAAAGTAATATCTGTATAAACACAAAGAAGAGAATAAAGTATGTTTGTCTAACGTGAGTCATGGCTGGAATAAGTATATCAAAGAACTTCTTCAATGACTTCCCACCGGTGACACAATACACAATGGTTGATGCCACTTGAACTACTAGTTGTTGTGGCATTACCAACCAAAACCCTTTCTTAGGCCCCAAAACATGTCGTCCCAAATCAAAGTATCGGTCAAATCTCTTCCCAGGAACATATTCATGCAATTCAATGAGTTGCCATAGAGAATAAAATGTGAGAATCCACGAAATTACAATCATTAGAACACCTGGTATCCTATAAATATTCATCACACAAAAGGGTAAGTATCAAAAGATTGCAATGATATATGATCTGAAGTAGGAAATTAAAGATCTATATATAATTCTATTTGTTAATAAATATAGAACATAATGTCTCATAAACATTCTTGACATTATTTTTTAATCAAAATTATAGTTTTGAAGTATCTTTCAATTCTGATAAGAGAATTGCACCCAAAAAAATCCATAGAATGATATGTAGAGTTTTGTTTTAAAATATATAATTTTATATAGTTAAATACATTATACATACCATCCAAGTTGGGCTAAAGCAAATGGCAAGCCAAGCACACCAGCACCCACCATAGCTGTGACATTGTGGAAAGATGAATACCACCATTTTGCTTTTCTAGATGCACTTATGGGCAACCAATCTTCCAATTTTTGTTGCTCACTTGGTGTCCTATTCATTTCAGCAGTTTGATTCATGTTGGAAAGCTCCTGAAACCACATCAAATATCATCATGTTGGAAATTAGTAAAAATTTGATGAATCATTGAATGACATGACATGAATAAACCAATGAAGAAATAAGAATTGAATGGTGAGTTGTGTGTACCATTTCTCTAAGAATATTGCAAACTCCTTATTCAATAACAGGGATGGTTAATTCTTAAAGAAAAGTATGTGAACTTTGTGTGAAGGTTGATGAGGATTTACACAATTTAAATAGTCTAATAGGAATATAAGATGCTGGATTAGTCATGACCTCCGAAGCTTAAGGGAGAGCACGTTCAAAGTAAGAGAATTGAATATTTGGACAAACATACTTCAATCTGTCCGAGTTTTCCTCTTTTACCTTACACTACTTACACGTTTTACTTCTTCCACTTTTTACTCCCTTATTCTTATTTATTATTATTATTTTTTATTATTTTTACAAGTTTTTATCTAAATTCATGCATTTCTGTTATCTAAATAACAAGTCTCAAAAGTTTTATACTAGAATTTTAATTACATTGTAATTTATATATTTAAATTAATTAAAAATGAAATATATGTATTATTGTCAAATAATAACCACAGACAAATGTGTGTTGACAAATAATTGAGGTGTTTCACTACTTTTTTATTTTAACGAGTAAGTAGGAGATTATTAATTAGTCAAGTAACAAACTTTGTCTAAAAAGAAAAACTAATGGTCATATTCAACATTTTTGGGATCTAAAAGATCCTAAAACAAGGGAATATAATCGTACGAAAAATGTTTATGTCCATATTTTTTCAAACAATTGGTAATTACTACAAATGTATTTCTCTTAAAAATTAATAGGTTAAAAAATATTGTTCAAAAACTCTTGACTATTTATTTTTAAGGAAAATAAAAATAAATATTATTCACAAACAATCTTATGAATTAATTTTCATTCAAATATATACTAGTTCAAATAACACCTTTTACATTGGACTTTACATAGGTTAGAGAAGAATCAATATAATATAAGGTGTGGTAAGAAAATGTCAACGTTACTATATAAGTTGTATTAATCGATGTAGTATAGTACTTCCTACATAGGTTCAATGTTAAACTAATGTAGAGAGATATTTTACATTAGTTAAACTACAACTAATGTAGAATGATGTTTTATTAACACCCTAAATCATCATTTTTGAATTTATGCTCTCTTTTCTCCTTGTTTCCCCCTTTCTAATTTATAAAAAATTAATGCTTATAGGTATAAGGTTGTCTACAAGGAATAAATGTACATGTGCATTAGAAAATTTGAGTAATGAGTAGAGCTTTTGTGTATGTAATTCTGATTCTCTATTGAACTTGAAGATCAATAGGAATAGGCAAACAAAGGCAGAGTTAGGTCATTGGGGGAGCTAACCATAATATTGTTGGGCATTAAGGGTTACCACACATATACACATGCCTCCACATTGGTGAGATGTTGTCTGCTTTGGGCCCAAGCCCTCACGGTTTTGCTTATGGACATCACCCAAAAGGCCTCTTAACCAATGGAGACAATTGTGTGTATATAAACCCATGTCCATCCTCTTGTTTGAACGATGAGGGACTTTGCTTGCATCTCAACAATCATCCCCTCAAACAAAGGACCACGTTTTCCCCCCGCTCCATCATGACCTCCCTCATGAGGGCAAGACACACCTCCTAACCCTCCACTGTTTAGGAAGACTTTCGATACAAGAGATCCCAAACTTGGATCCACTTGCCAGCCATCATACTTGTTGAGTCGGTCACCTGATCAGACTATCGGCTCTGATACCACTTGTTGGGCATTAGGGGTTACCACACATATACACATGCCTCCACATTGGTGAGATATTGTCGGCTTTGGGCCCAAGCTCTCACGGTTTTGCTTATGGACATCACCCAAAAGGCCGCTCAACCAATGGAGATAATTGTGTGTATATAAATCCATGTTCATCCTCTTGTTTGAACGATGTGGGACTTTGCTTGCATCTCAACAAATATTTATAATTTTATGTCTTAAAATGTAATTATATGAGTAATTTATCAATATACAAATCTATATGTTATTTGGTATGTATGTTTAAAGATTTAAGAATGTTTATAACTTGAAGAATTACAAATTCAACTAATAGCATAATTAAAATAATTAAATTATTTAATAGGATACAAATAATATAAATATCACATTCAAGTTTCAATACTTACAAACTATAAGAAAAAAAAAAAAAAGAGATAATTTTACATGTAACAATTCTTTGCATTTTACATTCAACATTTTACAACAACTCTTGACATTTTATATTTGACACTTTTTACATCTTATCCAAGAATAAGAAGTAGGTCAAACTCACAAATACTAATTTTTTATAATTTTTTTTAAAAAAATAATTAAATATTAAAAATCAATTATTATATTAAAAGTTTCCAATAATGAGCACTGATATTTTACTTCCCACTTAAACAAATGTTTAGATAATAGTAGTATTTTATTTAAATATAATACCCTCTTTATTGTACATATGCATACTATTATAATTATTTTAAATTATTAGCTTAATTACAATTATTTATTAAAACTAGTTACAAATTTACAATTTAAAAGAAACAGTTAGGGGCCTAGTTCCCTCCACAACTACATGTAGCCTTGTACCTGTCTGAAGGGCACACTGGTAATCTTCACGTACTTTGAGGGTCGAACGAGAGCTCCGATCGAATATTCTAGTGAGAGGGAGGGCACCTGTAAAAGGCACTCTGACGCTCAAGTCAGGACAAGCACAAATATCGATAGTAATTAATGAACAGTGACGTTACCTCGTGACATGAGTTATTTATACTGACATTTATGGGCCCTGACTTTCCTGGGCCCTGTGACAGGATTACCGTATTAGGTAATATGTCTCTAATCGGCTTATTGGTGTGATTAACTCTCAATCCTTAATTAAATGTAATCCTTAATCTTTGACTAAGGGTGATCTATATTTATGAAGCACTCGGTGGCCGATCAGCTGTCGGCCACCTGGTTCGGCCTTCCAGGTGTCGATCGGGTGTCGGTTACCTGGTGGCCGAATGGCCTTACCAGTACACTTGCCCCCTAGCCTTGGAGAAGGGAAAACCTTCTTCAAGGATATAGAGTGGAAGTTAGGTCGTTTGGGAAATCAAAAGGTTTGGGCAATCTCCACCATTGGATCTGGACGATCAGGCAGTTATGTTTTTAAAAAAATTTGAATTTTCCCGCCCTTTTTCTTAGCTATATATAGGTGTGCGTGGTAGGGCCTCTCACGCGTATCGCTCTCAGCCGAAGTGAATTGTCTGAAGACGCTCCGACCTAGCACAACACGTCGAGTGAACGTTGCAGAATCTTATTCTTAGTAAGTTTGACTTTATGGCTACTTCTTCCGAAAGTTCTTCGGCTAGTGAGGCTCGGTCATCATCATCCGAGGGGTTGTCGTCCAGGGCTTCGGAGCATTTAGACGTAGAGATGCCTTCGCCGAGTAAGGACGAAAGGCCTAGCGAGAGTGGGGGTACATCCAAAGAGGCGTCGACTAGTGGAAGTGAAGAGGTGCCGACTAGGGCTAAACGCGTCTCCACTCGGCAACGATATGGGCCATCCGAAGTACTAGAGTATGAGTGGGTGAACGGAGAGGTGACCTCGTACTACTCCCGTTGCCGAGATACAACAATGATTACGAACTTGTTAGAATATACAAAATGTTTAAATTTTGACGCCAGAGAGGAGCCGTATCCGATCGGGGTTCGGGCTTGCCGAAACAATGCCTTCCCAAACCCTGACATGGTTTGCTTGAACAAAGAGGGCGAGAAGATGGAATCCTTCTACATGTATGATTGTCCTTTTGCGAGACTTGAAAGTGAAACTGCCGTTTGATGAGTTCACTATGGGAGTATTGAGAGCTTTGAATGTGGCTCCGACCCGACTACATCCGAATAGCTGGGCTCAACTACAAGGATCAAGCATTTGTGTCGATGCCTAAACATTCGGCCTTCGTCGTTGTTATTTCTTTATTTTTATTCATCTCGGCCATCAGATTTGGCGAAGTGGGTGTCGCTTAACCGAGTTAGGACTCGACAGCTTTTACATAGCTTCACTTCGTCATACAAGAACTTTAAGGCTGGCTTCTTCTGTGTAACCATTCGCCCGAATGGATGCTATTTTTTCTTTGGAGGCGACGATAAGAGTTTGTTTCCATTGTATTGGACACGAGCCCCTCGGCCATATGATGAAGTGCCGGACGAGCTTTTCACAGCCGAAGAACAGAAGGACTTGGAATTTTTGGTTTGCCTCCCTTGGCGCTTGCCGACGAGGTCTTTAATAAACGTAGTTGAGTCTCCCTAATGGAAAAATGATTTGATAGGTATGTGATTTGTCATGTTTTGGCCTTAAGCTAAATTCATATTGATATTCACTTGACTATTTGTGCAGGAATCATGGTGGCGAGTGGGGCCGATGAGTTCAACATTCGCAACTTGTTAGCCAGCCGAGTGCAGCAGGCTAAAGCCTCCGGTATCGTGGGCAGTTTGGCCCCTGCGCAAACTCCTCGCCCCGAGCAAGACAATCGCAACCCTCCGTCCCCACACCGCAAACACCGAAAAGGGAAGAAGGGGAAAGAAGCCGCTCATGACGGGTCAAAAAGAAAAAACAATGAAGAGAGGCCAGAGAAGACGAAGAAGCAGAAAAACACCGAGTCTTTGCCAAGTGGGATAGTGATTTGCGTGCCTCCTTTGCTGATGTCGCGTGCCTTCCTAAGTGAGGAAGTGTCTGTCGAGTCGATGGTTCGGTCAAATGCCATATCGGAGCATGGGCGCGAGTTCTTGGACCGGTTGGACACCATGTCTAAATGGAAATACTACTGCAAAGTCCAATCCCGTTCTCTGGCCTTGGCTCATCATCTCGCGATGGAACCAATCGGCGAGTTGGTGAATTTGAAACAAAGAGTTGAAAAGGCCGATAAGGCAGCGACCGAGGCTATGGCGACGACCGAGGAGGCTCTGGCTAAGAATCGATAACTCGCGGTCGAACTGGATGTGCAAAGGCGCAATAATGATACCCTTCGGCTGGACCTTCAAAAGGCGTCGAACGAAGAGCAGCGCCGAGCTGAAGAAGCAAAGGTTGAGCGGGAACGGATTAAAGATCAAGCTAGAGAGCCCATTGTCGCTCAGCATGAAGTCGGGTTTCGCCATGCTCTTTGGCAAGCGAGGTATTTCGGCC